GTTCAATATCAATCGATAAATGCAAATTATTCATAAATTACCTGCTGCATAAAAAAGTAGTTGAGGCAAGAATTGCATGGTTTTGAGGAGGTCATAAGATGTGATTAATTTCTCTGTAGGTGGATGCAAGGTCACACGAAGGTCAAATTTATTTTGTTAAATAGAGTCTCATACATCTTTTAACGCATTAGTCAATGCAACTTGATGTCCTATAAAAATGGATATTAACCCACATGCGTCAAAGAATGATTAGTTTACAAGACACTTTACTTAAGATATTACATGTTAATTATCGCTCCTTTATTAATGTTAATTGTAAGTAAAGCTGACAGTAATAAATAATTAATAATTATAAATATAAATATAAATAAATAATAATAATTTCTTAGCAATATTTAAATTAAAACTATATTTTTGGAAATATCCTTATAAACTAGTATATTTCTTATATACACACGGGACTGTTTTTAAATGATTTACTTTTACACCGTTCGTTAACGTATTTTATTCATATTAGCTCAGTCCTCTTAACACGGCTTACTTAATTTTAACTTTAAACTCGGAAAATCTTCCACGTCGTATTTTCTTCTTTCCTTTCACGAAACGCATTCGTCGAGTAAAAACAGTCCCTGATAAAAGTTACTGTTTTCGGGGTAACGTCAAATTAGAAAAAGCTTCCATTTAGAAAAACAAAATTGGCCTTGGACATAACCTCAAAGCGTACAGAGAAATTAATTACATCTTTCAGAAATTAATTATACCTTTCACACGATCCATGCTCTGATCTGAAACATTTTCTTACACGGTATATAAGTTACGAATAATGCAGAGTTATCGATTAAAATTCAACACTCCGCATATACGTGAAATATTAACCGAAACGAATGTAACTGAATATTTCAAGGAAATGAGAAAAAGTTTCCATCAAAGTTCACGAAATGGAAGCAACAAATGACACGAGCCAGAGGACGATCGATGGAACTTATACTCTGAAACTTTTAGGAGAATCCACGACGATGGACGTTGAAAACCACGGGTATGGAAAAGCAGCAATGTCCTCCAATTTCACCAGGGTCCAACAATGTCTGTGGACTTCCGAACGGGCAATTAATTCCTCGGGAAAGAGGATAGGCAGCGAGAAAACGGTATTTAAGTGACCTCGTCTGGCGAAGGAGGTGACTCAATAGGCCGTGCATCAGCTTTCCCGAAGGAGAACTCGACGGATGTTACCCTGGGGTCGTGCCCTTTTCGTAGGAGTGACTGATCGCACGTGTGTTTCTTCGTGGAACGTGTGAACGTCTCCGTGGAGGTAGGAACGAGTGCGAAGCTAGCTTAATGTCTCCTCGAGAGTGTCTGGCGACGTCGTCATCCTTTCGAGTGCGCGCAGCTGCAGCCACTGTGTGGGCCGACAATGAGTAGCCTCCATAAAATGCATGTCATAAATTTTCGTTGGCCCTTCAACGATTAATTTTTATATCACCATTTCCGTTCTTGCGCTCCACGTTAATATCGCTTTTTCCTCGCCGGCCACATGATCACTCGGAAAAGGAAATGTTCACTGTTATGCTAATCTATACTTAACGGATACGATTTTATTTGGATTTATTGCATTTGGGTAATTTACTTGTCAAGGTGATCATCGGGTGCGTTCTATAATTTGCTTTTGATGGATACTTGTTATTAAAATTAGAGCTATAGAACCAGTCCATTTCTGTTTTTGCTGCTGCTCGAGGCATGCATCTGCTTTTGGCAAGATTATCATCGTCTTTTAATAAGATAGGTAATTACACCTAATTATTGTCGTTACAATGCTGTAATTATTATTATTTATGTATGAACTATATTAAGGCTCTCAATCTAGAAATCGGTAATTCTAGTGCACCTTTAGTACGATTGGATAATATTCTTGTGTTAATGAGTTTTATTGGCAGAAGTTCAATAATACAATACAGAAGATTTTCATGGATAAGATTGCGATCATAAATACAAATTTTTATGTGGCTAGTGAAAATTAATATTTTGTTTATTCGTGTTATTATCTTTTAAGTTGGAAAAATATCGTCTCTGTAAAATAAATGTTTATGCACATGTTATTTTACGTTTACATTACATATGTAAATCAAAATTTAAGTCAATGATGACATAAATAATTGCAACAATGACAATCAACCAATTTTGTTAAATTATAGGTACAAATGTAATATTATAAAAATGTATCATTATTCAAAGCATCTAGCATCCAAATGACTATAAATTGTATACAATCGTGAGATAACAGAGAAGACACAATATTTCAAATCAGGATATTTCAATCAAAATCTTCAGAGCAGCTATGGAGTTTAATCTTCTGATTATAATTTCATGCCGACAAGTAAAGTGATTTCCAGTATGAAATTTGAATTGAAGCAATATTTCGCAAACCATTATACGCTATTATATGCATACATGACACACTTGCGAAGCTTATAAAAGTTTCATGTCACGTGTATTATAATTTCAAATATTTCCATCTAAAATCCAGTTACACATTTTCTTTTCTTTTTTTTTTGCAGCAGCACAGATGTTCTTGTTATTCGACGGCTAGATTATCGATCCAGCTAGAAAGCCATCCATGGAGTACGGATTTATCTTATAGTAAGAATCGTGATATCATTTTGTCAGGACAATCTTCGTACTAGAAAGATCCAATTCAGAGACTCGGCATGGTCACGCTCTCTGTTCCAACCTCACCGGTCGCAGCCCACTCTTATAATGCAGTGCAATGGTATTATTATTGTGATTGGAGATACGTCGAGCAGGAGAACCATGACCCCATCGTTGTGAACACATCGCAAGGGCTAGAAGAATATGCGCGTACTTAAATATATAACAAGGAGTATACACGGCTGACTCGTCTCTAGCAATTGGTAGAGGGGTCAGGGTTCGATGGAACTTGACAACGAGTAAATAAAACGAATAAATTCGAATACCTTGCGTTTTCGTTTCGATATTAGACGTCGATAGTAAATTAACTTTCGCAGCCAATGATTTCACTTCCTTTCAGAATTATCTATGGTTGACTATTTCTATGGAATGAAGCAAAGAAATGATTATGGTTGATATTGACTAAGAGAAATATATTTATCCTCTTGAATAAAAATGAAATATATACGATACGTACAATTGTTATATGCAACTATATAAGAGACTTCGAGGGAGAAAGGAAAGGGACTATAAGAGAGAAGAGAGACTATGAGGAAAGAGATATATAAGTACTTAAATTCAGTAAGGTTATGTGCAATGTGGAATATTGAGATGAAATTCTTAAACTGTATGCAGTAAGAAAGTAAATAACTATCTATTTACATACAATTGTTGTATATAATGTACTCGTATATTATATATAACATATATTCGTATAATATATATTTTACTCGATAATGAATAATAAGCACTAATAAAGATAAATTAAAACGATACTTTCAGCGATATTTAATTAATTAAAAGAGCGGAAACTTTATTCTATTGAATAAAAATAAAGAAGACTGAAGGTTATGTATAATGTATAGTATTATACAATACATAATATGTAATAATTTATACGTATAATACATGTAATATATAATAATATATACATATTCCATGTATTATATAAGATACATATATAATAATAATATTAATAATATTATAATATTATTAAACAGTGACTAAGAAATAGGAACAGAGAGATGTGTAACAGAAGGTAATTTAATCGCGTGAAATATTTTTGTTGTCTTCCAAAATATTCATATGGTTACTAGAAACCAGAATGTTTCACGAAATATTCAAATTTTATAGGCGGAACTAAAGACGAAGATCCAGTACCGGGTGAGATTTCATCGATGCTAGGAGAATCTCGGGTCAGCAGGTTTTTACGCGTACAAATGTCTCGCATTTTTCTTCGGTAAGAAAAGGTGCAGCCAGCAGGTGGTCAGGCACAAGAAAAAGGGCCCTCCACCTGAACGGTCAATGAAAGTTGAAAAAATATGGAGGTTCGAGGTTAGTTGCCGCAGCCTGACACCTGTCGTTTTCGTGAACAATGATTGCGTCGATAGACGACATCTGCGCTTATATAGAAAGCTACCTTATCGAGCTTACCGACCACGCGTATTCTTAATTTCACGTGGAAACGGACTTTCTCGATACCGTTAACAAGAAACACGCAGATCAAGCGTTTCATAATAATAAACGTATAATTTCATATACTTCACAAGAATTAAATATATGTTCGTAAGAATTAAGTGCGCATAAATATTACGCAATAAAACATTTACGTAGAAAATAACTAAAACAGTTAGTTTCACGAAATGTCGAATGTCGTTAGCGAGCGTTACATCTAAAAACGAGAACTGAATATAAGCACTATGAAACATACATTGGCCAGCTCTCTCCCTAAGTTATATATGCTGCGCACTCGACACACGCGCATTCGTGCATTTTCGATGCAGCTGACAATACATTTCTATAGTATATTTTAGCTTCACCTGTTGGAAGTTACATAGAAATGTAGATTCGTGAATGTCCTGCAATAATCTTTTTACACCTTTCTTTAATAAATGAATTCGTACTATCGTATCGTAGTTCATTAAAATACCAAAAAATATATAATTAAATATAAATTTGTTGGTATAACCGTTAGACAGTATCAGTTTCGCTTTTTATAATATTGTACCATTAATTTTAAAAGCAGTTAGTATCTTGTTATTAAACTAATCTACAGAAAGATTGTAAAACAAGTTATACAAAAGAAATACACGTGTTACGCTCGATAATTCCCTTCTCATTCGCACCACTGGATTTGTTTCCATATATCGTTGATATAAATCAAATTGTGGCAGATTTAGGGGAATTCTAAAAAGATTTACGCTTGCAGGTAGGATATCGTTCAAAGAAAAAATTTCGTAAGCGAGAGAGTAATTCGAACGTGTCTTTATAGTGTTTCCAAATAAAATTTTGAGGTTAGGTAATGTTAAACAGGTTACCTGATCGAAGAGGGCGAATGGCTTCTGAAAGTTTAGCAATGTCTCTTGCATCGTAACGGAGGACCTCGGGGATTTGTGTGTACGGACCCAAAAAACAGGAAGCCACAAACCTCACGAATTCCACTTCTCGTTCAGCTCGTTGTTTGCCGCCATCCGGTGAAACACCGTCCGGCAGCGACTTCCGGAATCGAATTACTTTGTGCTCCTGAAACATGCGCAGACAAAGACGCAATGAAAAATAACAGCAAATCGTAACTATAATCAACAAACATGCACGATATTATTTCAAATATTTTGAAATCGATATTCAAAAAATAAAAATAATGTAGACTGCTTAAAATGTTAAATTAATAAACCTAACCTGTTATTACTAAATTTTATTTGACGTTACGTTTTATATAATTATCGAACGAGACTGTTTAGTGTTACATATTATTGGACATATATTATATATAATAGTGTACGTATATTATACATACTAGGGTCTCTTTTATACGCTCGGTAGACATAGTACAAAAAAAGATCATGTAAAGAAAGTTATGTAAAAATCGATTTACGATAAAGTATTTTCCTATTAATGTAACCTAAGCTTTATACAGGGTGTTCATTTCAAAACATTAAATTTAAATATCTCGAAAACAATATACCTTCGGAATAAATGTAAAATACAAAAGTTTTTCGATTTTGAGAGTAAAATACAACTATGTTATTTATTTTTTATTTATTGAACACTTATAGCGCGTAAAAGAAAATCAAACTTTTGTTCTTTTTATAATCATCTTTATATAATATCGATATATTATATTCATTTTTTTGTACATATTTAATATTTTTTAAAGTAATTTTTGTAAGAGTAAAATGATCTTTTATAATATAACGTTTTAAATTTCTAAACTTTATAAGAAACTCACGATACAATCTTATTCCGGAAATTCTATATCAAGATTTTTAACTTTGCTGTGAAAATAAAACGCTTTCTATTACACGACATAAATATTTCTAAGAGTGAAATCAACTATCTAAAAAATCATTGAGCACGATGTGACGCTGATAGTAGTTAGTACAACAAATGATCACGCGTTTTGCATACTTGCACGACATAGTTGATTACCTGTTATCAGGGACGAAACAGTGCTGTAGTCGGCCCGTAGTCGACGTTCGAGAAAATATGCAGGTCAGTAGCGTGAAAAAATTCACAGAGATAACTGGGAGAATACGCCCTCATGGTTCACCTTGTTACATTATAGTTTTTAAGGCTAGTAACTGCGACGTATACACAGCACAACAACGAAATTAACCTTTAAACTTGTACATCATTAAATATCAACCTTTCGCATTTCAATTTTGTCCAACACTTTTCTAATTCGTCCACTTTTACAGAGAAAGACGAAACCGGCTAACCTTTTAGTTCCGTTTGACACAATTGGAGGTTATGTCTTCGACAAGAAGAATTTTGTTTTGAATACGACTTACATAAATTAAAACGATACCGATCAGATAATACCACACTAAAATGCTTTCATTTTAACCGATGAATTGACTCGAATAAATTTCAAAACCAGTTCGTGTTATTCAAGATCGTAAACTGATATATCACACGAACGCACGCGTATGCGAGGCTAAAAGCCACTGAAGTCAAGCGTCGAATTGTAACGAACGAATTATTTACTTGCGATCGAAAAAATTACACAATATAATTGTTTAACGGAGTAAGTTGTGTAATAACACTGTTTATCACATTTAATCCACGGTGTTGCCGTATATTTATATAATCTCGTTGAAATCACGACGATCTGATTACAACGGTAGAGGAAATTTCGAAATGGCGCGAGAAACGAAACATGTTACGAAAATAGATAGCGTAGGCAAGAAAAAATTTCGTCGTTGTCGCCGACTTTGTCGACGGATCGAAATTAGGTCGACACGCGGCATTTCATATCGCGGCAAACCACAATTTCCATTGCGCAGCGGGCTTCAATTACTATCAGTGAATTGCTTAAATGACGTGGCGTTAATTACCGGTGCGTACATCGTGCCTCATACAGAAACCGGCCGTACCACTAACGAGTCCACATTTCGCCACGTTATAAAGAATAAAAGACGAACACGATCATTTGATCGATAATGCCTCCATAACGATCCTTTGAAACTGTTAGAAGCGTGGCCACTATAATGAAACCTGACAATCATAGTACAGTTATCTACAGAGATTTCTTAATTTTACAGCAATTCAGCAAATAACACGAAAATTTAAAGTATCGACAACCATAATAAAGGTAATATACTGAGCTTGATTTTTTAGATAGTTCTGTGAAGAATAAATGAATAGTAAATAAGTATAGGTAAAAAAGTATTCTGATGCGTATACAAGTCTATTAATTTTATTTCCTTTAGTATTACAGGGTGTTTAAAAATAAGCATGTAAAACTCGAAATGGAAGGAGCAAGAAATCTTCAATCAACACATAACCTAAAATTAATGTTTTCGGAATGAAATGTAATTTTGCATTTGTAAATAACCCACGTACGTCTCGTATCAACAAATGAATACGAATATGTTAGTTGGTAAATGTATAATAATATAATTATTATTGTAACGTTTAAATATGAATATTTATATATACATTAAATACAAATGAAATAACTTTTTCAAGGTTTACTGATTTAAGAAATTTAAGAGAAAATACTATTTCATTATGAAAATAAATTACTAATTATAAAATACTGGAAATACTGTAAAATATTATCATTAATATTGTATGAATGAAATGATAATAAATGATACGAGATATAAAAATTTATCTCCTTTTGCACAAGAGATGTCTGACGTGCTTCCTCCTATTTGAATACAGGATTCATACATGTAAATTATGAATCAATCTTATGTATTTTTTAATATTCGAAACCTTGTCCCACATTAACTAACACGCGTATATTTTCCATTTATTGTTTAATTCAATTACATTCCGTGTCGTACAATGTAAATGAGTATCATAAAGTATTCCTGTGAGGAGATAAATAATTACAACTTGCTTTAATGTAACTTGAGAATTTATGTTTTACATTAAACACTTTTGAATTCTTTTGGTACATTCTATAAGTCCTTAAAGTATTAGTCTATTTTTATTAATAATCAGTATTATATATATATTGGATGACAAGAAATATAAAATATGAAGTTCATTATGCAGGTCATGTAATTGAGTAATTTAGTGTAAAATTAATTACAGCATGATTGTAAATTTAATAAGTACTAATAGATATTCGAACAAACGTGTGTTATTATTAAATTATTAATGAAAGTTTTAGGACAATGCCATAGATAATGCACCTCCCCAAGATTACTATATGCATAAGCTATTGTACTATACCACAAGTATAATTAATTGTTAATTAAACAAAATAAAAACAAATTCTCGATTAATAATAAAGGTAATTTTAGGTAAATGACCAGAGTGAGATTATTTAATTTTCAATATTCCAATTTCTTTTTTAATTTTAATAGTAATAAGAAAATTCTAACTATTCATTAGAAAAAAGAAAATTGGTCATATAACTTAGAATACGTAAAAATTGTTAGTAAACTACGCAATTAATAACTAGAAATGAAAATTGAAAGCAATATTTGTGAAATTTATGACAATTGTGAAAAATTATTGTGATCGTGATTCTGATTATAATTCTTGACCAATAGTAATACGACAGTTAAAACGTAACAAGGAAAAAGTTATATATTTGATAAGAAATTGAGATTGAAAATTGTGCAATTTGATTTATCCAGTTCGCTATTAGATCATTCTATATTCTGAGGAAATCATCCTATATGAAATCATTCTATATATCTTTAGCAAATCTGTATTTATGGAAGTCTTTTTACCTCACCAATAGATCCAAGAAAAAAGCAAATACAAAAATTTGAGATAGGATCTGAAGCAGATATGAAGTCAAGGACATTATATTTTGCACATAGATTCGAAGGACTCTGTCAACAGATTATTTAATCGATCGTAATACTTTGGGAAGAAGTATTGTACGAAAGATTGTATAAAAACAGAAAAAGTGACAAAAATTTACTACTCATAATGGAACTTTTCAAAAAATAAAAATTGGTGATTATTAAAAAATTATTGAAATTCATAATACACATCATGTTCGTATCTATTTGTAGTCAACTTGTATTGCAATTTATATTGATTTCAAAATCAATTGAAATAATATAATCTGCATAATACTTCTGCAAATAAAAGTGCTCTCTCATTGTAGTCAATTTTCCATTTATTTAATTATTCGATTAAATTTAATAATTTTTAAAATGTATATATAATCAGTATTATATAATATAT